GATGGAGGAGTGGGAGAGAGAGAGAGAGAGACAGACAGACAGACAGACAGACAGACAGACAGACAGACAGACAGACAGACAGACAGACAGACAGACAGAGAAAGAGAGAGATAAGTGACAGATGCAACAGGTACATATGTTTCCAACTCATTTGTGTACTTAAATTCCACATATTTTCAATTGTTCCTGTTCCATTCATGCCATATTACCTGCCTTGAGTATTTTGCATGTGTTGATCATATCTCCTACGTTTTCCTCTCACAGCGACAGTAAGTTTAATTGCTATACTCATTCCTAACTCATACCACTCACCACTCAGCTTGTAGGCTTCCCTGGTGGCATACCACCCCACCTTCCCCAGAAGCCTCCTCTGTCTTCAGAGATACCAATTCCTCGCCACAGTTGCATATTCAACCTTACTAAGAACATCCATATTCTCAGTTTAATACAGTTCTTATTTTAGAAAATATTGCAAATGCAATTTTTAGTACCCGGTTGAAATGGTATACTCACCTAGTTGTGTTTGCGGGGGTTGAGCTCTGGCTCTTTGGTCCCGCCTCTCAACCGTCAATCAACAGGTGTACAGGTTCCTGAGCCTATCGGGCTCTATCATATCTACACTTGAAACTGTGTATGGAGTCAGCCTCCACACATCACTTCCTAATGAAAGTCACGGAATGTGTGTGTGTGTGTGTGTGTGTGTGTGTGTGTGTGTGTGTGTGTGTGTGTGTGTGTGTGTGTGTGTGTGTGTGTGTCAGTCTGTATGAGTGTAAGTGCCAATAATATTGACCTAACTTCCATCATCTGGCCTGCAATATTGATCAAAGTTCTCTGTAAAATTACTATTCGGCAGTTGATGATTCATTGGAAAGTTTTAATTGACCACAGATTTTGTCGACAAAACTTTTAATTGGACCAACATATTTGAGAAAATGTAAAGAGGTCTTTTGTCTTAGAGATTAATATTCACGCCCATATTTTCTCTCACAAGAAATGATTGAGAATTTTTTAGCATCAATGTAATCGGGCCGGTGATTTGAACGAGATGTTCCTGCCTATTGTTCTGTCGTTACTGTCACAGTGTTTAATACTTGAATTATATTGTGTCTTGAGTCCGTGTACTCATCTGATTGTACTCGTCTAGTTGTGCTTGTCGAGGGTGGGGGGAGGGGGATTTTGGCTCTTTGGTCTCTCAACCGTCAATCAACTGGTGTATAGATTCCTGAGTCTACTGGACTCTATCATATCTACATTTGAAACTGTGTATGGGACTGAAACATGTGACTGAGGGACTGAGCCTGTCCCTCAGTCACATGTGTGATGGAGTAAAGTGGTCTGGCGCTGAGCCTGTCTCTCCCTGGCTCTCCACAACGAGAGAGAGAGAGAGATAGAGGAACTGATCATGGGAAAAGTGCTTTAGGAATGTGAACAATAACTTCATTTATTTTTTTGGCTGCACACTATTTATCTTCTGGGATGGTTAGGGTGAAGCCTTCCAACACTGGCCAGGGATGGTTAGAGTGTAGCCTTCCAACACTGGCCAGGGATGGTTAGGGTGTAGCCTTGCAACACTGGCCAGGGATGGTTAGGGTGTAGCACAAGCACCCCCACAAGCACAACTAGGTAAGTACACACACGCACGTACATAAGCCCTCTCAGTAGCCAAACAAACAAACAATTATGCAAGGCATTCTTACCCCTTCGGTTAAAAACGGTATTATAAGCGAGATTGGTCCGACGCGCACATGTAGACACTAACTTCTCCTGACGTTCCCTTAATGAGTCCCCCCTCACCCAATCCCACCCATCCCACCCCCTCCTGGGACTCCTGGAACACGCCTCCTATCCCGCACGACCTGTACTGTCCTTCCGGACTCCTCTAACCCCGTCCGGGACGCCTGAGAGCCTCAGGAACGCGGGATTAAGACCGTGGAAGGAGTCCGGCAGATTTACATAGATTCTTCACGCGAGTTAAAGAGTTGGAAAATATATTCTGTCGCATAGTAAGATGTCACTGTCACGGTACGTACGGTGAGGACTATAGTTACGTCCCTGGACACGGTGGGACATCATGAAGTCACCGGACACGGAGTGGACATGAAGTCACCGGACACGGAGTGGACATGAAGTCACCGGACACGGAGGGGACATCGTGAAGTCACCGGACACGGAGGGGACATCATGAAGTCACCGGACACGGAGTGGACATGAAGTCACCGGACACGGAGGGGACATCGTGAAGTCACCGGACACGGAGGGGACATGAAGTCACCGGACACGGAGGGGACATGAAGTCACCGGACACGGAGGGGACATCGTGAAGTCACCGGACACGGAGTGGACATGAAGTCACCGGACACGGAGGGGACATCATGAAGTCACCGGACACGGAGTGGACATGAAGTCACCGGACACGGAGGGGACATCGTAAAGTCACCGGACACGGAGTGGACATGAAGTCACCGGACACGGAGTGGACATGAAGTCACCGGACACGGAGGGAACATCATGAAGTCACCGGACACGGAGGGACATCATGAAGTCACCGGACACGGAAGGGACATCATTATGCAACTGTGGAGTGACATTTGAAACCAGGGGATATTCCTGAATTGAAGCTGGACTCGCCTTCGTCTCCCGAAGGACGACGTCCATCCCCCTCCCACCTCAGCTACCCCCCCTCCCCCCACTTCAATCCCCTCCACCTTCAATCCCTTCCACCTACCCTGCAATGACACCCCCCCCCCCCTAAATCAATCCCCAACAACAGAGCGTCCCTCATCATCTTACGCGGCCAGTAGCTGTCAAAGTCGCAGCCTGTCTGGCTCTCTGGCTGGCCGGCAGACTGGCTGGCTGGCTAGGAGCTGGCTGGCTGGCTGGCTGGCTGGCTGGCTAGGAGGCTGGCTGGCTGGCTGGCTGGCTGGCTGGCTGGCTAGGAGCTGGCTGGCTGGCCGGCAGACTGGCTGGCTGGCTAGGAGCTGGCTGGCTGGCTGGCTGGCTGGCTAGGAGCTGGCTGGCTGGCTAGGAGGCTGGCTGGCTGGCTGGCTGGGTGGGTGCAGTATCGACCGCAGCGTGTTCGACCTACACAGTTCACCGGGTAATGAATCGTAGTTATTGCTCCATAAAACCCGGACATTGTGATGACCGACTCCAGCCAGTGGTGTGTGCTGGGGACCCGCTCCTCACGACCCAGTCTTGTGCTCCAGTGACCCGTTACAACACCTCACTTCTCCCTGAGGACACCTACGGTGCAACCCTCAGTGATCCCTTCTCCCTGGCGGGTGTTGGCCCTCCCTGGCAGGTGTTGGTCCTCCCTGGCGGGTGTTGGTCCTCCCTGGCGGGTGTTGGTCCTCCCTGGCGGGTGTTGGTCCTCCCTGGCGGGTGTTGGTCCTCCCTGGCGGGTGTTGGTCCTCCCTGGCGGGTGTTGGTCCTCCCTGGCAGGTGTTGGTCCCACCCCTGGCGGGTGTTGGTCCTCCCTGGCAGGTGTTGGTCCTCCCTGGCGGGTGTTGGTCCCACCCCTGGCGGGTGTTGGTCCTCCCTGGCGGGTGTTGGTCCTCCCTGGCAGGTGTTGGTCCCACCCCTGGCGGGTGTTGTCTACCCCTGAGCATTGTCTCTCACACTCTTACATAAAATGAGATAGGATCATATTTTACTATTTTTAATTTTTTTTACCTCCTGTTCCCTCCTTCTCCCTTCCTTTAATTCCCACATTTAGGCAAACTTACCCACGGCGCGTGGAAGGCAAATTTCCCCCATTAGAGGTAAGGAACTTTTTCACTGGAGTAAGTTTGAAGGGAACACTTAGCAGGTGACGGATGCTGGGCTTGTTGGCTTACGACGCTTGTTGAGAGGAGATGTTAGATGCTCACGTTCGTATCCTTCCTTACTTGCTCCTCTCTTTCCTTATCACATTCTCTTTGCTTTCCTCTTTCCTCATTCTTTTTTTTAACTTTCTCATCTTTCTTTTTTTTTTATTATGTTAGTCTTATCTACTGTTTCATTTGGCTGGATCTCTTGTCATATTCTTTATCTGTCTTTTATCTCCTGTCATATTCTTTCTCTCAGAGACCTGCAGTGTTGCTGAGACAGATGTGTGTCCCCTTCATTCTCTCAGAGACCTGCAGTGTTGCTGAGACAGGTGTGTGTCCCCTTCATTCTCTCAGAGACCTGCAGTGTTGCTGAGACAGATGTGGTCCGCTTCATTCTCTCAGAGACCTGCAGTGTTGCTGAGACAGATGTGGTCCGCTTCATTCTCTCAGAGACCTGCAGTGTTGCTGAGACAGGTGTGGTCCCTGCATCCTCTCAGAGACCAGCAGTGTTGCTGAGACAGATGTGGTCCCCTTCATCCTCTCAGAGACCTGCAGTGTTGCTGACACAGATGTGTTCCCTTCATCCTCTCAGAGACCTGCAGTGTTGCTGTGACAGGTGTGGTCCCCTTCATCCCTCAGAGACCTGCAGTGTTGCTGAGACAGTCCCCTGCATCCTATGCAACAGCTTCATGTCAGAGACCTGCATTGAGGTCTTCCCCAGGTCATCCTGGAGCTGATGGTCAGATGCAGTCGCCCGGGTAGACACTGCATCTATACAGTGTATCCTCCCCCCTCAGTGTCCCCGCCTGTGTGCCAGGCTAAGTGTAACATATGCAAAGTTGTGCATATACATATATGCATGATTGTATGTGTATGTATGTATACGTGCAGTTGTCTGCGGATTTATTTAAGCTGTTTTATTCATAACTTGATTTTATCACTTTATCGATCTCTAAATAGCCTTTTGAATTGTATAAGTGAGAGCAAATGTGTATTACGACCATATGAAATACCTTTCTTGAAGGATAAGTTATCATAGGTCGCTTATGTGTACAGACAGTAACTCGAAGGACAGGGATTCCAGTTTCACTCTATTTGAAATAAAGTCCCGCGACATAAAGCTCCGCGACATAAAGCCTTGTAGCACTGGGTGCTTTATATCGTGGGGCTTTATGGCCCCGCGACATAAAGCACCGCGACATAAAGCTCCGCGACATAAAGCACCGCGACATAAAGCTCCGCGACATAAAGCCCCGCGACATAAAGCACCGCGACATAAAGCTCCGCGACATAAAGCCCCGCGACATAAAGCACCGCGACATAAAGCACCGCGACATAAAGCCCCGCGACATAAAGCCCCGCGACATAAAGCCCCGCGATATAAAGCCCCGCGACATAAAGTCCCGCGACATAAAGCCCCGCGACATAAAGCCCCGCGACATAAAGCCCCGCGACATAAAGTCCCGCGACATAAAGCCCCGCGACATAAAGCACCGCGACATAAAGCCCCGCGACATAAAGCCCCGCGACATAAAGCCCCGCGACATAAAGCCCCGCGACATAAAGCCCCGCGACATAAAGCCCCGCGACATAAAGCACCGCGACATAAAGCCCCGCGACATAAAGCCCCGCGACATAAAGCCGGAAAAGCAAAACTCCTCATCTCAGCGAGTGGGTCGCTGCTGGGAGAATCGATGCACTGAATAAAGAAGGCGCCATGACAACACCAGCTGCCTCCTCCACCAGCTGTGCTGCCTCCCCCACCAGCTGTGCTGCCTCCTCCACCAGCTGTGGTGCCTCCTCCACCAGCTGTGCTTCCTCCTCCTCCATCAGCTGTGCTGCCTCCTCCACCAGCTGTGCTGCCTCCCCCATCAGCTGTGCTGCCTCCTCCACCAACTGTGCTTCCTCCCCCACCAACTGTGCCTCCTTATCTGTCAGCTGTACCTCCTTCTCAGTCAGCTGTACTTGCTTTTCAGTCAGCTGTACTTGCTTTTCAGTCAGCTGCACCACCTCTTCCTCCACCAGCTGCCCTGTCTTGCCCTCCCAGGTGGCTCTTGCAGCTGCCCTTCCCTCTTCCTTGTAGCACCAACACGACGGGTGTACATACTCCAGCTGCACACCCGTCAGCAGCGCTGCCCTTCTCTTCTTCTCTTAATCTTCTCATTATCCGTCTATCTCCGTTTCTCCTCCTTCGGCGTTTCCTCTTCCTGCTCCTCCTGCTCCTCTTCCTGCTCCTCTCCCACTGGAGGGAGGAGCACTCCTCCTGCTGGCATCCCCAGAAGCGCTCGAGAATAAATTACTTGTCTGCGAACACCAAGAGTTTTTTCCCATACGAATAGCCAAAACGACTTTCTTGTCTTGCGTTATCAGACCGTCAGTGTGGTGAGGGATTCCTTCATTCTCTTATCTCAAGAATAAATTTCCAGCTGCGAAGAAATCTTTGTGAGGTATTGTAATACAGAATTTTTTTCTATGTAAATGTGGTAAATTGGGGCCTATGTTGTAATGGGATTCATATAAATTACTCCACCTGGAAATGTCGTGGTCACACCCCTGGTACACTGATGTCAGAAGACTGTGGCACTGTGTCACTAGACTGTGGCACTGTGTCAGAAGACTGTGGCGCTGTGTCACTAGACTGTGGCACTGTGTCACACCTGGCCACTGGAAAGACATACTGCAAGTTCCATGGTGACAGATCTTCTATTCTTATTTTTTGTAATCATTGTAGTTTTAGTGAAGGTTGAGAGCATTGATGTTCCTTTTTTTATACACGGGTAATGTATTTTACTTCTGTTGGAAAACAGTTAGGTGGATATGGCTACTAAGACAGGAATACGTGTATATACATACACACATACATACACACATACATACATACATACATACATACATACATACATACATACATACATAGATACATACACACACGATTTAATTAAACAAGCTGCAAAGTTGGTCCGAGAAATGGCTACTGGAGTTCAACACCAGCAAGTGTAAGGTGATGGGAAATGGGGACAAGCTTCAGGAGACCCAGAGGACAGTACACGATGAAAGGTAACCTCCTTTTCGTAGCGACTAGAGAAAAAGACCTGTGAGTGGACACAGCAACAGCCCTAACACCGGAGGCTCGTATAAAAATAATAACGGCAGCAGCAGCATACATTAGCAAAAGTCAGAACATCATTCAGAAACCGAAATAATGAGGCATTTATATCGCTGTACACCACCTACGTAAGACCAGTTTTGGAGTATGCAACCCCATCATGGAGCCCCATCATGGAGCCCCATCGTGGAGCCCAATCTTAAGAAACCCACAAGAAAACTCTAAAATGTTCAGAAGCTTGCAATAATGCTCCTCCCAGAATTGCGAGAGATAAGGAATAAAGCGAGACAGAAGGTAATAAACCTGACGACACAAGAAAAGAAGCAATAAAGGAGGGACATGATAGTGACGTATAAAATACTTAGAGGGATTGACAGGGTGGAAAAAGCGGAAATGTTTACAATGAAAACCGATAGAACAAGAGAACTTGGATGAAAGCTTGAAACTCAGATAAGTCACAGACATGTTAGAACATTTTCTTTCAGCGTGGGACTAGTGAGTAAAGGGAGGGAACTAAAGGATGAGTTTGTGCAAGAAAGTTAAAGTCATGATTTTAAAAGATGTGATACAGATATAGGTCAGGACTCATTGCATTAAACAACAGCTAATGCTTGATCCTGTAGGCACAATTCGATAAGTTCACACACACACACACACACACACACACACACACACACACACACACACACACACACACACACACACACACACACACACACACACTAAGACATTAGAAAGAATTTGTTCAGTGTCAAAGTAGTTATCAAATGGAATGCATTAGGCAGTGATGGGGTGGAGACAGGCTCCATACACAATTTCAAGTATAGATATGATAGAGCCCAGTAGGCTCTAGAATCTGTAGAATCTGTATTCCAGTTGATTGACAGTTGAGAGGCGGGACCAAAGAGCCTAAGCTCAACCCCCGCAAGCACAACTAGATGAGTACACACATACTAACAAGTGAACACAGATTCAAACTAAGGAAACAAAGGTGCCGAAAAAACATATAAAGTTTTCTTTCGCAAACAGAGTGGTAGACGGTTGGAACAAGTTAGGTGAGAAGGTGGTGGAGGCCAAAACCGTCAGTAGTTTTAAAGCATTATACGACAAAGAGTGCTGGGAAGACGGGACACCACGAGCGAAGCTCTCATCCTGTAACTACACTTAGGTAATTACACTTAGGTAATTACACTTAGGTAATTACACTTAGGTAATTACACTTAGGTAATTACACTTAGGTAATTATACACACATGCCTTGTCTCACAAGTTAGAAAATAAACTATTAAAGATTACAAAGACTCTGGACGCTAATGAATTAGCATCACATCTTATCTTGAGGTTATCTTGAGATGATTTCGGGGCTTTAGTGTCCCCGCGGCCCGGTCCTCGACCAGGCCACCCCCAGGAAGCAGCCCGTGACAGCTGACTAACACCCAGGTACCTATTTTACTGCTAGGTAACAGGGGCATAGGGTGAAAGAAACTCTGCCCATTGTTTCTCGCCGGCGCCCGGGATCGAACCCGGGACCACAGGATCACATGTCCAGTGTGCTGTCCGCTCGGCCGACCGGCTCCCATATACATAGAAATAATCATAAAATAAATTTATTATAATGGAGTTTAGCAATCATGTGAAGGAAGAGCGAGACATTCATCAACAACATTGCACAGAATGCTGAGCCTTAAGCCAAGCCCAGCATAACCAAACCTAACCTAACCTAACCTGACCTAACCTAACTTAACATAACCAAACGAAACCTAACCTAACTTAACATAACCAAACGAAACCTAACCTAACATAACCAAACCTAACCTAACCTAACCTAACATAACCAAACCTAACCTAACCTAACCTAACCTAACCTAACTTAAACCTAACCTAACCTAACATAACCAAACCTAACCAAACCTAACCTAACCTAACCTAACCTAACCTAACATAACATAACCAAACCTAACCTAACCAAACCTAACCTAACCTAACCTAACCTAACCTATCCTAACCTAACCAAACCTAACCTAACCAAACCTAACCTAACCAAATCTAAACCCTGTAATATCAAATTGAAAATGCTATAAAGGGAAAATGAAATCCATAAAAAAACGAAGAAGAACCAGATTATAATTAATGGAGTAAGAAGCTACAAATGAGAAGGATCTTGTAATAAGCAGTAATGGAGAAACCATTAGCGAAAGCAAATTATTTTATCCACGATAGGGCCTCATTTGCCAAGAAAACAGCGCTTGGTCGACGGAGAAAAAGAGGAAGGAGAGAGAGAGAGAGAGAGAGAGAGAGAGAGTGAGAGAGAGTGAGAGTGAGAGAGAGAGAGAGAGAGTGAGAGAGAGAGTGAGAGAGAGTGACAGAGAGAGAGAGAGAGAGAGAGAGAGAGAGAGAGAGAGAGAGAGAGAGAGAGAGAACGCGGATGATTTGAAAACGGAGAAAGAGCAGAATAGGGAAAAAAGTCATTATATAATAACAAAAAAACTGTTTTAAGAATAGACTTTGGAGAGTAAAGGGTGAGGGAATTTTTCTTAACATTTCCAGGAAGAGGAAGTGGAGGAAATAAAAAAAGAAGATGCGTAAGTCAAAACAAAAGAGTTAAACATAATTGAACACACAAGTGCCGAGTATGTTTCGAGAAAGATATAAAGGAAAGGAGGAGGTAGGAAGAGGTTCAGAGTGAAGGAGGAGTGTGAAGCAAGCAGAGGAGTGAGGAAGATGGGGCCCAACATCCTGAGGTGGAGCCCAACCTCCTGAGGAGGAGCCCAACCTCCTGCATCTCCTGAGGTGAAGCCCAAAAGCCTCGGCCACACGGCCCATCATCCGGATCTTCTCTAAGGCTTAGCGAGACACGCATCCCGCCGTATTCAGCTTCATGTGTACCATTGGTATGATTGGGATGTCACCCCTCTGAGGCAGCAGGCAGCGACTGCCCCCCTCTGAGGCAGCAGGCAGCGACTGCCCTCCTGTGAGGCAGCAGGCAGCGACTGCCCTCCTGTGAGGCAGCAGGCAGCGACTGCCCTCCTCTGAGGCAGCAGGCAGCGACTGCCCCCCTCTGAGGCAGCAGGCAGCGACTGCCCTCCTCTGAGGCAGCAGGCAGCGACTGCCCTCCTCTGAGGCAGCAGGCAGCGACTGCCCTCCTGTGAGGCAGTAGGCAGCGACTGCCCTCCTGTGAGGCAGCAGGCAGCGACTGCCCTCCTCTGAGGCAGCAGGCAGCGACTGCCCTCCTCTGAGGCAGCAGGCAGCGACTGCCCTCCTCTGAGGCAGCAGGCAGCGACTGCCCTCCTCTGAGGCAGCAGGCAGCGACTGCCCTCCTCTGAGGCAGCAGGCAGCGACTGCCCTCCTGTGAGGCAGCAGGCAGAGATGGTGGACACGGAGGATGCTCTGGATCAACAGGAAACACCTCCCAAGCAACAGTGGAAGAGGCAGGAGTCCCACAGAAGAGGTAAAATAACATTGTTGGAACTAACAGAGATAGTGTCTGGTTATGTTCAGGAATGACGTGGTCCAAGCCTTGCTGTTTGTGTACTTAACAATATACAAAGAACAACATTTCTACACAAGGCGAGACCATCACCACAGACATCAGGACGTGACAT